AAATTAAATTATAGTGACAGTGGAAGTGAAAGTGGAGTTAATTATAAATAAAAGTATAGTGACAGTGAAACAGAAAGTGAAGTGAATTAAAAATAAAAGTATAGTGAAAGTAAAGTGAATTAAAAAAAAGGATAGTGACAGTGGAAGTGAAAGTGAAGCGAATTAAATAAATGTTTTGTGTCAGCAAAATGAAAGTGAAGTGTAATGGAAATAAAAGTTTTGTGTTAGCGTATGTTGAAGTAAATATTATTTTATATAAAAGTTTTGTGACAGTGAAATAAAAGTAAAGTAAATTAAAAATAATAATGTGTCAGTGAAATGAAAGTAAAGTGTATTTTAAATAAAAGTTTTGTGACATTTAAATCGGAGTGAAGTGAATTAAAAATTAAAGTTTTGTGTCAGTAAAATGAAAGTTTTGTGTTAGCGTATGTTGAAGGGAAGTGTATTTCAAATAAAAGTTTTGTCACATTTAAATTGGGGTGAATTGATTTAAAATTAAAAGATTTGTGACTGTGTAAGTTAAAGTAAAATTAATTGAAACTTAAATTTTCGTGTTAGTGTAAGTTGAAGTGTAGTGAATTAAAATTAAAAGTTTAGTGATAGTGTAAGTGAAAGTGAAGTTAATTGAAATTAAAAGCTTTGTGTAAGTGTAACATGAAGTGAATTAAAAATAAAAGTTGATTAACAGTGTAATTTAAAGTAGAGCTATCTAAATATAAAAGATTATTCAGAGTGATATTTAAAATGAAGTGAATGGAAATTTAAAGATTTGTGTCAAAGTATGTTAAAGTGAAGATAATTGAAAATAAAAAAAAACACTTAAATGAAAGTGAATTGAATTAAATATAAAAGTTTTGTGTAAGTGGAAGTTAAAGTGAAGTTAACTAAAATTAAAAGCTTAGTGATAGTGTATGTTAAAGTTACTGGTATAGGTTGTAATATTACTTGATTACTGGAAAGGATGATGAACATAAAAAATAAATAAATCGCTAATCAAATCGTCGCGAGTCATTCAAAAGTAACTTTCTCGGTTTGGGGTGCGGGTCGTGAAAATACTTGATTACTGAAAAGAAGATGACAGTAAAATTCGCTAAATCGATAATAAGGATCGTCGCGAGTCATCCGGAAGTGACTTTCTCGTTTTCAGGTTCGGGTCGTGAAAATACTTGATTACTGCAAAGGAAGATTACAATAAAATTCGCTAAATCGCCAATGAAATCGTCGCGAGTCATCCGGAAGTGACTTTCTCGTATTCAGGTTCGGGTCGTGAAAATACATTATTACTGCAATGCGAATCGTGTTGAGTCGTCCGCATATGACATTTTTCATTTTTGCCTAATCTTACTGGTCATGCTTATTTTATTTAGGACCTTTAGGTGTTTAATCCTACTGGTCATGCTTGCTTATTGTATTTAGGACCTTTAGGTGTTTTATCCTACTGGTCATGCTTATTGTATTTAGGACCTTTAGGTGTTTAATCCTACTTGTCATGCTTATTGTATTTAGGACCTTTAGGTGTTTAATCCTACTGGTCATGCTTGCTTATTGTATTTAGGACCTTTGGGTGTTTAATCCTACTGGTCATGCTTGCTTTTTGTATTTAGGACCTTTAGGTGTTTTATCCTACTGGTTATGCTTGCTTATTTTATTTAGGACCTTTAGGTGTTTTATCCTACTGGTTATGCTTGCTTATTTTATTTAGGACCTTTAGGTGTTTTATCCTACTGGTTATGCTTGCTTATTGTATTTAGGACCTTTAGGTGTTTAATCCTACTGGTCATGCTTGCTTATTGTATTTAGGACCTTTAGGTGTTTAATCCTACTTGTCATGCTTATTGTATTTAGGACCTTTAGGTGTTTAATCCTAATGGTCATGCTTGCTTATTTTAATTAGGACCTTTAGGTGTTTAATCCTGCTGGTCATGCTTATTGTATTTAGGACCTTTAGGTGTTTAATCCTACTGGTCATGTGTTTGGTTAAGTAGACAATGTATGTTTGAGATGCAAGATTGGTTACCTCCTTGTGGTGCATCTTGGAAACAAGATCATTGAATTTTTTGTAATGTATAAATTAATGAACTGATTTATTCAGGTAGTATACATAACAAAATTTTTAATGAATTTGGCTGAATACCAATCATATATTATTATAAATAATAGCAACATCGCGAGTCATCCGGAAATGACTGTCTCGTTTTCAAGTTCGGGTCGTAAAGTCACTTGATTACTGCAAAGAGAGATGAGAATAAAAAGTCGCTAAATCACCAATGAAATCGTCGCGAGTCATGCGGAAGTGACTTATTGCTAATAAAATCGTCGCGAGTCATCCGAAAGTGACTTTCTCGTTTTCAGGTTCGGGTCGTGAAAATACATTACTACTGCAAAGGAAGATTACAATTCGCTAAATCGCCAATGAAATCGTCGCGAGTTATCCGGAAGTGACTTTCTCGTTTTCAGGTTCGGGTCGTGAAAATACTTGATTACTGCAAAGGAAGATTACAATAAAATTCGCTAAATCGCCAATGAAATCGTCGCGAGTCATCCGGAAGTGACTTTCTCGTTTTCAGGTTCGGGTCGTCAAAATACATTATTACTGCAATGCAAATCGTGTTGAGTCGTCCGCATATGACATTTTTCTTTTTTGCCTAATCTTACTGGTCATGCTTATTTTATTTAGGACCTTTAGGTGTTTAATCCTACTGGTCATTCTTATTGTATTTAGGACCTTTAGGTGTTTTATCCTACTGGTCATGCTTGCTTTTTGTATTTAGGACCTTTAGGTGTTTTATCCTACTGGTTATGCTTGCTTATTTTATTTAGGACCTTTAGGTGTTTAATCCTACTGGTCATGCTTGCTTTTTGTATTTAGGACCTTTAGGTGTTTTATCCTACTGGTTATGCTTGCTTATTTTATTTAGGACCTTTAGGTGTTTTATCCTACTGGTTATGCTTGCTTATTTTATTTAGGACCTTTAGGTGTTTAATCCTACTGGTCATGCTTGCTTATTTTATTTAGGACCTTTGGGTGTTTAATCCTACTGGTCATGCTTGCTTATTTTATTTAGGACCTTTGGGTGTTTTATCCTACTGGTCATGCTTGCTTATTTTATTTAGGACCTTTAGGTGTTTAATCCTACTGGTCATGCTTGCTTTTTGTATTTAGGACCTTTAGGTGTTTTATCCTACTGGTTATGCTTGCTTATTTTATTTAGGACCTTTAGGTGTTTTATCCTACTGGTTATGCTTGCTTATTTTATTTAGGACCTTTAGGTGTTTTATCCTACTGGTTATGCTTGCTTATTGTATTTAGGACCTTTAGGTGTTTAATCCTACTGGTCATGTGTTTGGTTAAGTAGACAATGTATGTTTGAGATGCAAGATTGGTTACCTCCTTGTGGTGCATCTTGGAAACAAGATCATTGAATTTTTTGTAATGTATAAATTAATAAACTGATTTATTCAGGAAGTATACATAACAAAATTTTCAATGAATTTGGCTGAATACCAATCATATATTATTATAAATAATAGCAACATTGCTAGTCATCCGGAAATGACTCTCGTTTTCAAGTTCGGGTCGTGAAGTCACTTGATTACTGCAACACAGTAAAAAGTAAATCTTAATTTAAGGGCTGCCTTAAATTCAACACTGTCTGCTATAATGTTAAAGGATACGAAAAACGTGCGTTAATTCAACATTGACTGTTTTAAAAATGTTGCATCTTAATTTAAGGCAGCTTTCGTGCCTTAAAATAAGATTTTCTTTTTACTGTGAAAGAAAGATGAGAATAAAAAGTCGCTAAATCACTAATGAAATCGTCGCGAGTCATGCGGAAGTGACTTATCGCTAATAAAATCGTCGCGAGTCATCCGGAAGTGACTTTCTTGTTTTCAGGTTCGGGTCGTGAAAATACTGAAATACCGCAATGCGAATCGTGTTGAGTCGTCCGCATATGACATTTTTCTTTTTTGCCTAATCCTTCTGGTCATGCTTTTTGTATTTAGGACCTTTAGGTGTTTAATCCTACTGGTCATGCTTTCTTATTTTATTTGGGACCTTTAGGTGTTTAATCCTGCTGGTCATGCTTATTGTATTTAGGACCTTTAGTATTTTTAGTAATTATTTACATACTAATTAATTGTTTTATAGAGGTCTGCATTCTATTGAATCACCTTAATATTACTGTTAATTTTATCCGAAAAAATAATTTTTTATATTGTATATATATTTTTCAATTTTTCAGTAATTGTGAATTTAGAAAACAATCCCGTGTAGAAATTTCCCTACTTCGCCTTATTTGAAAAGGGGGCGCTGATGAGGAATTAGTAAGGCCAATCACACTAGAAATTTCTAGATAGGTTATAATCGGGCACTGACTAGAATGCCTTTTTTTCAGATAGGGAAATCTAACTGTATCTATTTATGTCCCTTTTAAATATTTCAATCAGGCCCTGGCTAGAATGCCTCTAGTTGAATTCACACATTCTGATATTCTACTCAGGCACTGACAAGGCGTTCTAGTTTGCGCCTCACTTTCGAAAGGACATCTATTCAGGGCCTTATTAAAGCCTATTTTCAATTTCTACACGGGATGTCATCCCTCATTGTAAAAAAGAAAGTTAATGACTTCTAGGACTGTTAGAAAAATTATTTTGAAATATTATTGTGTTAGAAAAAAAATATCACAAAGGGAGGTTTTTCATAAATTCGTAAAGAACAAAAAGAAATATATTGAAAAATACGGAGCATGGAATAATTGAAAATAAAGAAGCATAAATTAAAAATTTTAAAAATGGTTTATTAATAAATAGAAATAGACAGTAGTAAACATTTTTCATGTGGGGGGATTTCAATATATTTTATTGAGTAATTTATATTTCTTTATAAAACTATTGTAATAGCCAATTTTTGAAAATTTTGAAAATAAATAGTTTGAATATTTTAAAGTTTTTCAAGTAATTAGGAACTCCAGAGAAAATTTGTTAGTCATATATTGTAAACAAGGGTGATGACGAACTTCGGCATTGTTAGTAGAGGTTGTTTACACTCTGTCCTTATACATATATCTTCGAACGACAATAAAGTTTTCAAAAGAAAATTGAGTATTCCCCTTCTCTTCTTGCCGTTGTGCTTTTGCCTTGCTTTTGTAAGTTAATTGTTAGGAATAAAGTATTATTTCACCAAATAACTAAATTTTACTAATTTTTCTAACAGTGTTGAAGAATGAAGTGCCTCTGATAACAAATCATTAATCGATGAATTCAGAAGATGAAGAAGAATATTCTAAAGAGGAACCCATTTGAGAAGGAAAAAATTGATGTTGAATTTTCTGTTCGTCTTTGATAAATTAGTAAGTATCAAAAAATATAATTCTTTTAAAATATTGAAATTGTAATAATTCTTTGTACACAGTAAAAAGAAAATCTTATTTTAAGGCACGAAAGCTGCTTTAAATTAAGATGCAACATTTTTAAGACAGTCAATGTTGAATTTACGCACGTTTTTCGTATCCTTTAACATTATAGCAGACAGTGTTGAATTTAAGGCAGCTCTTAAATTAAGATTTACTTTTTACTGTGTAAATTAAATAATTTAAATAATTAGTAAAAGAAATACAGAATTTAAAATAAAATAACTTACATTTAGAATATTTGTAGTCACAGACAATTTAAATTATTTTTTACTTTAGTAATTTGTCTAAATTGTTTTAATAATTTATTTATTAAATTAATGATCACTAAATTATAAATTATTCTTTACATTCTTAATTATTTTAATTATTCAAATAAAAAATTATTTGTAGGGGAGTGTTGTTAGAGTTGGGCATGGTTTTGACTTTTCTTGATAACTTCCCCTGTAGAACAAATTTCGCGCATATTTTTGGAAAGATCAACTCAAATGCAATGTTTTTGCTGAACATTGTAAAAAAATTTGACCAAAAGATTCAGAGTTATAAGCAATTTAAAAAAAATGTTGTCAGAGTTGAACATGTTTTCCAGAGTTGGGCCACTGTAGAAAATCAATGAAATATTTATGTAAATGATTAAAAATGACCTTCAAATGATAGAATGACACTTGGGAGTGAGGAAGGAACCATGAAATTAAAATAAAATCCCACATTATGGATTTTCATATAACTTTAGTTAATTTATTCCTCATGATCGAAATCCAAAATTGAAAAGAGGTTATCAAAAAAATTGTTTTCCTCTCTTTCCAATAGAAATGAAGTTTTTAACACCTCTTTATGTGAAAAAATGAATTTCTATTGCAAGTACACTTTGTAATTGCAAAATTTCGGGTGGCTGAACTCTAACAATCGCTCATGGTTTAACACTGAAACACACATAGAAAGGGTTTGCTGTGACAGTGAACATTTTGCTGCCATAGCAAACCTTATTCATTGAAATAGGGACAGCGAAAAAGTTTGCTGTGAGATCAAACAAGTCCAAGAAACACTTTGCTACTCGCAACTACAGCTTCCTCAAAAACACAAAATCTCATCGGGGTATTCTTTTAAGACGATGCCGTGATGCAAACCGGTCAACTGAACAACGAACAACCAAACGAACTTTTCAAACACGACTGTTGAGACGCTACCAATATTCTCTATTCTCTGGCACTCTCCTCCGGTTCACAATGAACGCAAAACACATTAAAACACAAATTAATAAACAATAACTATTTATTAATAAAACTCAGAACTCGAAATAATTAACAACTACAAAATTAATAAATCATAATCTCAAACTAGTCTCTCGATTCTGACACTCGTCAGAAACCGCGTCACGACTTCTCGGAAACCCGCAAGCAAGTGTCGAACCATCTGATTGTCCCCAAAAGGCTTTCCCGCTATCAAAATCGTTTCCTTGTTTTTCCTTCGCAATTTTCGGAAGAACCCTTCTTCTTATCCCCACGGAACGGCACCTGAAAGAAACCTAGAAAGGGTCGCTGACCATGTGACGTACGCTGACAATTAATCATGCGCAAAATCATTATAATTCTGATTTCACGAAAACCACAGCTCCTCACACGCTGATACGAAAGAAATATACAAGAGACTTGACAACAAACGAGACAGACCTTTGATAAGAAAGAGACAAACAAACGATTCTCTAAACTCAGAAAATACTTTTCCTACACATTGCAAATTAGGCCGAGTAAGTAACGAAACACTTCGTTACATAATAAAACAGTTCTACTAATTGTTAGTAGAAATCTACTAATCAATTAGTAAAATTCACTATTTGTTAGTAATATATTACTAAATCATTTGGTGGACGACTTTTCACCATTTCATTAGTAACTTTCTACTAATTCAGATTTAGAGAGCAGGAACATTAATTTTCAATAAGATAGCTTTCGCTTTCTACCTGAATTTTCCATAGCGTGTGTTAAAATAAAGAAAATTCAATAATAGTATTTTTTTTTTGAATTCACGTCTGATAAACTAAAATTTTATTTTCAGAAACGTATTCTATTTAGCAGTCTTCAATAAGAAGTCGACAGAGTAAGGACTCAATAAAATACCGAAGCATGACTCGAAATTGACCTGAAATCTTCAAAAGCTGAGTTCACCAAAGTAAGTCAAAGATATACCAATATTTTATTTTTACATTTAAAAATAAAAAAAAATTAAGAAGTAAAATTTCAAAATAAAATTTTTTTTTTAATAAAATGAAAACTTTAAAATTGGTAAAGATTGAAATGAAAAAATAATTTAAAAAAAAGCATAGAATATTCTTTCTTTTAAGGCAAAAACCTACTGTTTTTTCAAATATCTCAAATAGTTAAAAGAAAGTCTTACATTTTTAATCTTTTACTAAAAAATGGCGCATCATTCCTCTTAAAAAAATAAAAAGGTTACAAAATAGTTCTATCTCGCAGATTTATTTTAAACTTAACTTTTATCGAAAATATTAATTTGCAATTTTATTGTCAACTTCTGTACATTAATATAAACAATAATTACTATTTTTATTTTTTTTTCATACTTAAGAACATTAGCAAAGTTCGTAAGAAAAATTGAGAAGTTTTCCCACCCCCTCGATACCTTTTAAATAAAACTTTCCTCTAAAAATACTAATTTTGCAGCCATTAACAAATAATTAAATTCTTCGATGATATTAAAATATTTTCTAAATCTAAAATTTCAATAAAAATACTCAGAAGAATGCAATTTTTTTTAATTTAATGAAAGTCTTTGCAAAAATTCAATTAGAATAATAAAATTTTCACAGAAATTCAATTACTTGAAATACAATTTTCAAGAAAATTTTTCGAAAGAAATCAATTATTTAAATAATTTTAATAAAATAGTTTAAAAGGAATTAATTATATTCTAAAATTTTCATAACATTTGTTTAAAAGCGAGTTGTATTATTTTCATAAATAATAACATTCATCACAAGAATTTAATTATTTGGAATACAGTTTTGATTAAATTATTTTAATTAATTGAATTTTTCTTTTAAATTTTCATAAAATTCTTTCAAAAAATTCAATTATTTTTAAAATAATTTAATAACACCCTTCGCCAGAATAAACACTGAACAAATTTATTTGATCCAAATAACCGATTAATTGACTATTATAAATTAAATATTTACTTGAATCGAATAATATTTACTACTGGAGTCAATTAAATGGTATTGAACCAATAATTTCAGTAGGTATTTGAAGCAAACACTACCTAATTGACTTAAATAAACAAATTTATTCAAGTAAATATTAAATTGATAATAGTCAAGTAATCGGTTATTTAAATCAAATAAATTTTTTTCAGTTGAATTAATTATCTTTTCAAATAACAAAATATTTTACAGGAATTTAATTATTTTTAAAAAATGTAATAAAAATCTTCTAAATTAAATTAGATATGGGAGAGTCTCCAGTTGTGAGACGGGTTTTATTTTTGACCCGTAAATTGTAAACGGGTAATCGAAATTGTAAATAAAATACACCGTTCGAAAGGTAACAGAAATACGCAACTTTTATTAAAAGAAAGTGTAGTGTTTCGATGAACTCAAAAAATTTTACGATACATTTTCCGAGCACATCGCTTTTGTCAAAAAAAAATGTCTCCAGTTGTGAGACACTCATTAAAAATTGTTAAAATTTAATAAGTTTGACATAAAACGTTATGTTTAGTAGAAATAATTAAATATATTAATAATATATATTATTATATACTAAATAATAATATTTATTCGCCAAAATATGACTATCAAATAAACACAATTTAATAGATTCAACAAGAGCATTAAAATTGATTTCTTCTGAATCAATTGACTTTTTTCCACTTGACATGCCCAAAAATACTAGAAAAAAATCAAAACAACATTTAAATAGTATGCCTGCAAAGTCGTATTTTTTATGCTGCCCAGATGGGTGTTGACACCGTCTCACAACTGGTGCTATGCTGTGTCTCACACCCAGAAATTAGCGCTATTTTGAAAAAGGAAAATTAAATTATTTTCAACCGTAGATTGGAACAATGCAATATTGCATCACAAAATATAAGGAAAACACTAAAAGAAAATGCATTACATTTACCTTTTTCAATTAATTAACTTGGAAAAAAGTACTTTGCATTTATTGAAAAAACGCTTTTTAGTCGATTATCACACACAGTGTTGGAATTTAACAAAAACAGTTTATATATCCGCTTCGGCGTACACGAAAAATTAATTGTGAGGACCTAGATAATTATTGGAATTGTTCTAGCAATAGTTCAGGACCAGCAAACAATTTTTTTACTAACAATTGTTGTTGTCATTCAATAAATACAGTTCGCACAAAAATTATTTTTCCATATTCTGCTGATTGGCGGCTGTGGTTACTTTTTATTAATTGTGAATTAAATTAATTGTGAAGACCTAGATAATTATTGGAATTGTTCTAGCAGCAGTTTAGGACCAGCAAACAATTTTTTTTACTAACGATTGTTGTTGTCATTCAATAAATACAGTTCGCACAAAAATTATTTTTTCATCTTCTGCTGATTGGCGGCTGTGGTTACTTTTTATTAATTGTGAGGACCTAGATAATTATTGGAATTGTTCTAGCAATAGTTTAGGACCAGCAAACAATTTTTTTACTAACGATTGTTGCTGTCATTCAACAAATACAGTTCGTACAAAAGTTATTTTTCCATCTTCTGCTGATTGGCGGCTGTAGTTACTTTTTATTAATTGTGAATTAAATTAATTTTGATGACCTAGATATTAATTGGTATTATTCTAGCCATAGTTTAGGACCAGAAAATAATTTTGTTGATAACAATTGTTAACAAACAAATATTAAATTTCGATCAAAAATATTTTTTCATCTTCTGCTGATTTCCGGTTGTGGTTACATTTTATTAATTGTCAATTAAATTAATTCTGATGACCCAGATATTAATTGGTATTGTTTTAGTTATAGTTTAGGACCAGAAAAAATTTTTTTTGATAACAATTGTTAAAAAAGAATTAAAGTTTGCTAAAAAAAATATTTTTTTTCATCTCCTGCTGATTTCCGGCTGTGGTTACTATTTATTAATTGCGAATTAAAATACCGACATATTAGCTCGGTCGGATAAATGCCTGTCTCGGCGGACGCTTAGGATCAAGGGTACTTGGTTCGCGCCCATTAGCCTGGGATTTTTCCGGTACGTGAGATAATCTGAGCGGGAGGTTTGACGTCGAAGTATAATGATGTGCACCGTTGATTATTGTCCGGTACACACCATTAGAATTCGACTGTCGATAAACCGATTGTACTCGGAGAGGTTTTCTACAGTTTCCCTCTTCACTGGCGAGAAAACCCATTAGACGGGTGGTCCAGGCAAATGCGAGTACTCCTAATTTCAAGCTGTTCTGTAGACGCAAAATTTAGTATATAAGTATAGTTTGTAAGAAAAATTCCACGGGGACACTTGTAACGCTAGTATTAAGGCAAAAGACGAGTGTACACTCTAAATCTGAATCAGTGAAAATTTCACTGATTTCAATTCAGTGGCCCACTTTTCTTTGATGAATCAGTGGAATTTCACTGAAAATCAGTAAAAACCACTGATTGTCAGTGAAATCCCACTGATGAATTAAAGAAAACTGGGCCACTGAATTGAAATCAGTGAAATTTTCACTGATTCAGATTTAGAGTGTATAAATAAATAAATACATAAATAAAAAATAAATTGTGAATTAAATGAATTTTAATTGGCCAGATAATAATTGGTATTGTTCTAGCCAGAGTTTAAGAACAGTAAATAATTATTTTATTACAATTGTTAATAGACAATTGTTAAAGTTAGATTATAAATAGAATTATTAAATATATGTTTAATAACTATAAAATTAAATATTAAAAAAGCGTTATTATGTAAAAATTTTAGAAATAATTAAATTTTAAAGATTTTGAAAAATGTAAACGGTATCCATTCTTAATTTCAACTAAGTAATTATTATTTTTAATGTCCGTTTTTAATAACTAAGGCACTTTTTATTAAAAAAGAGTGTGCTGTGTATTCTTTATATATATTATTATTTGTAGAAATATTTTCAAAATTTCTTGCTTTGTAGAAAATCGTAACTATGAATAGTTCTGAAATTTTGATTGGTATATTTAAATCTATAAAAACTATTGCAAACATTGCGACTTTCTAGAATCTTTTTTTTACATAAAATCAATGATACAGGGCATAGAATTAAATACAAAGTGGAAATATTTTTAAAGATTCATTTATTTCAAATTTGCTTTGCATGAAAGAAAAGTATTTTTAAAACAAAATACTCACATATGAAATATAAAATGATAAAATTTGTACAATAATCATCTAGCACATATATATCGAAGTTATTTGACAACATAGTACAAAAAGCATAACTTTAACGCTCAAATTAACATAAAATAAATTCTACGCGTTTTATTTAGAGATCATATTCCTTCCGCTCTACGAGTATAATATTCGAATTTTACATTCGCAAATCACTATATCGACGCTTCCAACCACAATACTTTTCATATATATAAATCTCAACATTTATGAAATAGACAAAAAAAAAAGAGAAAAAACATTTAAATAATGAAAGTCGTAAAATTTTTCAAATAAACGACAAATAGAGAATTACGAATAGCAAAATACGAATTACTCGACATATATGTTATTCTAATTAACTTTTGACATAACATCTAATATAGTATCTAACATATTATAAAGTAGCAAGTCCTAATATCACAATGTCTTTTACAATATAGAAATATCGCTTTTATTGTTGTCGCGAACAACACAAACATTTGCACGTAGATAAAACTTAACAGTTCACGATATAAGTACGAGAAACATTTCGCATCAATGCTGGAAGAATCGTAGAAATTTACCAATTTTTACAATAAAAAAACTTAAAATTTAACAGAAACATTTATATACACTTTTCTTATTTGATTATTAAATTAAAACAATATGTTTTAATGCCATGACTCAAGATGTCAAAATATGGCTGTAATATCGACTAATAGATATAATAGAAGTACTTATAAATTTAAGAATCAATAAAATTTATGCTTAAAGCTAATTGAATCAATACTTTTTTGTATTGTTTATGCATTAATACTATTTTGTTGATTAATACACAAAAGGCAGAAATAGATTACAACAAAACATAATAATTCTCTATCCATATTGAATATCAGCAAATATTTTAGAATATTCAAATAGGGATCAATACTTTCAGTTCTCCATATGATTATATCAAATAGATTTTATCTATACGCAATCTGAAATCCTTGAAGCTTGATTTACAAGGAACTCGGATAAATTTAGAAATTTTTTATAAAAGCTGCACGTCGGTACTTTTTATACCTTTACCTAAAAACTAAATTTGTACATTTAAAAAACGTGGCATCTTAAAATTATTATATTAATTAAAATACCGAAAAAATAGATAAATATAAAAAAATCAACAAAGGATATTTTTTAAGTACCACGCCTTTGAGAATATATATCAAAAAAGCAATAAAATGGCATTTCTTAAGTCTTAGGTCGGAAGCGCGACATATAAAATTCACAGTCAGTACAATAAATCGCAGGTTGAACGACACTTTTCTTTCCACAAAGATGACAGGGTTTGGCGACTGTCGTCTTTTGTAGGACACTTGTCGTTTGAGTAACTGTCGTTGTATTCTTCACTGCACTTTGAAAAACAATTTTGTTCTTCGGCGGTGGTGGATGCTGATAGGCCGGATACTTCATATTCGATTGAATTTGTCCGTTTTGTAATTGATTCGATGGATAGGTTTGATTCGGAGCCAGGACATTTTGTTGTTCGAATTTTTGTGGCGACCTTTGATAGTTGTCCAGTCTTTGTTGATAACCGTTTTGTGGAACTTGTTGCTGATAGGCTGGATTCGGCGTTGGTGGCGGTTGATATTGTGGAAGCGGTTGATTCGCTCGCTGCTGGGGAGCAGGTTGGTACGGGTAGCCTTGATATGTTCCATGGGGATACTGAGTTTGATTGGCGAATTGTTGATAGGGATTTGGTGATTGATTTGGGGGATAGAATTGCTGTTGTACTGTTATTGGACTCGAATTGTGACCACTAGTTAGACTTCCGTTGTGACCGCTAGTTAAACTTCCATTGTGACCGCTGGTTATACTTCCGTTGTGACCGCTGGTTAGACTTCCATTATGACCACTAGTTAGACTTCCATTGTGACCGCTGATTAGACTTCCGTTGTGACCGCTGGTTAGACTTCCATTGTGACCGCTAGTTAGACTTCCGTTCTGACTTGCAGTTAGACTTCCATTGTGACCTGCAGTTAGACTTCCGTTATGACTTCCAGGTAAACTTCCTCCTAGGCTTGTGTTATGACTTCCAACCAGATTTGCGTTGTGACCTCCGGCCATACTTCCATTATGACTTCCAACAACACTCGTATTAAGATTGGGAGTAACACTACCATTGTGATTGACAATCCGCTGTTTGAGACCCTGTTGGTTAAGTTGTTTGTTCATCTGATTGTGTTGTTGTTCCAGATGATAGTACTGATAGCCTTTCGGACAATTCTTTTGATTTGGATTTTGTGGGAAGTTGTGCATTTGAACAGTGAAAGGACTGGCCGGTTTCTGTTGGGGAAGAACCTGATTTCTGGGATGCGAAGTTTGGGTTTGTGGATAACCGGATGGTGTTTGGGTGAATTGGGGATATCCACTTTGGGAGTATCGAATTTGCTGTTGAAGTTGAGGTGAATAGGAGGCTGAGAGTTTTGCGTTTTGACTCATATAAGAGTCCCTAAGTTCTTGACTGTCGTAGACGTAACTCTTGATTTCGGAGACTGCGGAATCGTTCGAATTCTGTCGAACGAAAGTTGGTCTGATATTTTCGGCTGTTGAGATAGGATTGACGCTTCGGAGTTGATCTTGGAAGGGAGTTGCGGGTATGCTGTCGGCCTCACTCTTGAGAGGGAGGGTGTGCTGTTGGAATTTCATGGTCGAGTTTTCGCGATTTATTTCCGCTTCCTGTAGAGTCTTGATTTCGCGAAGTACCTTGGCGGTTTCGGGTTTATTCATAGCGGTACGTAGTACCCTTTCTAGAATTGGATTCGGAATGTAGGAGGCTTTTTCGTCGTCTTCGGCTGTTGCGACGAGGACGACTTGATCACAGAAGGAGACGCTCTTCTTCTTTCCAATTCGGTGCTTTGTTTTCCTAGGCGCAATGTCGTCTTCATTGGGTAGAATTGTTGTGTTTTGGATTGTATTCTGCATCGCGACTTCGCTGATATCATCCTCGGGGTAGTCTATCGGTAGACCATTCTCGTGTGGCAGGGTTAGTGACATAGAGAGAATGGCGGCATTAAGTCCACTTTCTTGGACAGGAAGACCTAGATTTGCAGCACTTGGATCATAATTCTGGTTTAATGGAATTTGACCTTGCATCTGGTTGTGATTTTGAATTTGCTGTTGTTGAACCTGACTCTGAAGGGGATTTTCGATTTTGGGAACATCCTGACAGTTGTCCATAACGGGGGAAGGAGTGGCAGCATTTGAAAAGTGGGTCTTTGGTGCCAGCACCTTGCTTTGTTCGAATTTAGCTGCCATGTCCTTGACGGAAGACGTGACAACTCTTGAGCAATCGGTAACGTCGCGTCCCTGATCGAAAGATCCGATACTGTTGAGCATTAGGTCGCTGGTTCTTCTAGCGACAGTTCCGCCTTGAATGCCTGATCGTATTTTTGGAATATCCTGTTCGACGAGGGTCTGTTTCTTTATTCTCATTTCTGCCTGTTTGGCTTGAAGTTCCCTAAGCCAGGTCTCATTGGCACTCTTGTCCTCGACGTCCTGGCATGAGTCTACCCTCAGGTCCTTGGCCTCTGCCGCAAGGGACTGCTCCCTCTTGAGTTGTAATTGTGCTAGGAGACTGCTGATTTGTTGAGCTTCGGACTGTGCATTCTTTTGGTCTTCAATGGGTGATGGAGGTGGTGGAAAATCTTCGCTGGCTTGCCTTGAGTGTGAAACAGAAGGAATTGACGGATAAGGTGGAGGTGGAAATTCTTCGCTCGGTTGTCGAGAATGAGATCCGTTTCCATTTTCTGGATATGGTGGAAGTGACTCTGGCTTGACGGGACTTTGCTCGTTGTGAACATCGGCTCGAGTCACGACAAAAGTTGGTTCAAATAGAATTCCATTAGCGTATTGCACAACATCGTCTTGTATTCTCGGTTTGCTGTTGTAATTCATCTGTGAAGTGCTACTTTCACTCCCGTATGTGGGAATGAAGGGTAGGGAGTGCGGTTCGGAGGAATAGTCCGCGTAGTTAGAGTTTCTATTCGCCTGCGTTGTATTCATATGACTCCAGTAAGCGTTGCTCTGATCTTGAGGCGAATTTGTCGTTTTGCCCGGTCCGTCGGACAACGGGTAAAGAGATTTATCAGTTTGTTGCTCGTTTCGCACTTCAGTCGTACACTTAGTCTTGCTAAGTTGAGAAGTGGTCCTGAGGGGTGGAGGTGGAGGAACTTTCGCAACGTGCAGAACTTTACCAGCGCTGCCGTGGAAGCTCTTCCTCATCAGGCGACTTCTCTCTAAATTCGGATTCCCCATGCTCCCATTACCACTTCCAGAGAATTCTAGATGACCTTCCGAGAGATATCCACTCAGAGATTGTGATGCATCTTTAAGTCCCACACTTGAGTCATCGACAGATTGCTTCGGTAGGGTATTGGAAGATCCAGCACCATTGACTGGACCGTCTTGTCCTTCCCTTAAATCAGGCATGCTTCTATTTTTCCTCTTGATTAAGCCACCCATTAGTAACTTTCTTCGGATCTTGTGCTGCTTCTTCCCCTGTTTTTGATCACCTGTATTTGTTTGATTTTTGTTCGAATTTTCCGAGGTCTCTTTGCTCTTCTCAAGTTTTGTGATTTTGAATGACTGCGAAGGCCTTGTGGGTACAAGGGAAAAGTCCTTTGATGCATTCTTGTTACGCTCTTCACTCCTAGCTCGTTTCTTGTCTTTCTTATCATCCTCACAGCGTTTCACTCTGCCAAACAGTCCAGTTCGTTGAGTCGGACGATCGTACAGCATGTACTCCTCATCTTCAATCACATTAGTAGTCGTTGTTTTACTCCTCGGCGACTTCTTCTTTGGAAGAGTAGCATAGATTTCGATACTCTTTGTCGCTGGCTTGTCTACTACCACCGGCGTGTTTACCAAAAGTTCTCGGCTGTTCTGACGCGAATGGTTGCCTTTATCCCTCGAACTCTGTCGAGAATGTTGACCGGATTTGCTGTTCTCTCGAGAATGTCGACCCTCTAGTGCTCCTTCTGTAAACAAAATGTTTGAAATCAGAAAACTTCTTCAGCAAGAAATTAATCAATAAAAGCAACTTTTGTCAAATTAATTTTACGAGGCCGTAGAATTGCTTCAACAAAAGGAATTTTTGTTCTTCTTACCTTCTTTGTCTCCATTAGCGATCGCTTGTTCCTGCAACATTCTTCTGTGTAAACTTCTGGTTCTCATGACGCAAGTGTTGTGCTTCATCCTTGCAATTTTGATCGTTTGGGGATTATTGTAAGGAGCGTCCATTGCTGCCCTAGCTTTACTGCTCGCCGCAGAACAAAGAACTGAAGCAGTGACGAGATCACCCGCATCTTCAGCAGCTCTAGACTTGTCCAAAAGTGCGTCCGTTTCCTTGCAGAGACGCTCGCAGTCATCTCCCGATTGTGGTTGATAACCTTCCGGAATTTGAGCAAGCTGAAATTCAAAACACTTGGTTTAATGAAAATGAAAGAAAGAGAAAGAAAAATTAACAAAAGAAGAAGGTTGAATTAAATTTTTTTTTGGCGTGATTGTTTTAGATTAGCGAGGTTGAAAACTCACCTGTAGGTTGTGCTTTAATCCTTGCTGGAGAGGAAGGCTATCAGTGGAGGAGAGAGAATATGAATCATAACCCGCATCATAATGACCGCTACTGCTGCTTGATAGTTCTCCAGATTTACTGGTCGGACTCTTTGGAACTCCAGAATTTCTCTGAACCTTGTTAACGATGTACAAGTAGGGATTCTCCATCGTTGTCGACGAACTCGACGAGGCGCTATTTCGGTCTCCGGACCAATTTCCCGAATCTCTTCTTCGAGGAACATTGAGATGGTCCGGAATATTAATACCGTCTTGTGGAGCTGATCCTGCACTCAAACTTCGGGTCAATTGCATCTGTTGCTTCTTTTGTTGTTGCATCACAGTCTCAACGGCTCTTCGACTTATGTATTTTGCATCTATATCACCATCTACTGCATCGACGCCCTGAATACACATTTAAACATTAATTACAATTCTAGAAATTAACTAAATCGAGTAGAAGAAAAAGAAGGAGTAGAAGAAAAAGAAAAATGAGTAGAAGAAACGGAAAAACGAGTAGAAGAAAAATAAAAACGAGTAAAAGAGAATAGTATTTACCTGATTGGCAAAGATGTTGTTTTGAATATCAGTGAGATTTTGATAATCGCTGTAGATTCGACGTTGCGTGTAAATGTGTGTAGGACTGTCCGGATTGGGAGTAATCGCCCTCCTGGCAGTATTATTAATTGGGGGTTTTTCAGGACTCGGCGTGATCGATCGGCGAACATTGTTTTTTGGGGGCGTCTTGAGTCCATTCCCATTGGGAAACGGTGTGACTGTCTTCGGGGCATTCTCAGTATTGACAGGCGTACCACCCGGGGTCGCGTACAACAAAAGAAGTGGTTGGTATCGACCTCTCCTACACTTTTCAACAACCTGCTCCCATCGGGGTCCAATCTCCTTAACGGTCGCGTCGTCGAAATATATCCAGACCTAGAATTGAATTTCGCCATCAGTCGAAGGAATAAAAGCAGTTCTCTTTTTAAACACACTACTACGGATCCAATTTCACTTTTTTATTCTACTTTTATTCAACCCAAATCTTTTTGATTTGGCCAATTCGTAGTTTTGTAAACTATTGGTAAATTATTTTTAAATTCAACTACTAAATGAAAAGATGAACTATTAAAGAAAAGATCTAAATTCTAATCTAAAATCTATTTAGATAAGTATTAATTTAGAATTTGATAGCATTGTCGATTTGGAAACATACCTTTAATTTCGTGTGGAAGAAGAAGGTGGAGTAATGTTTTCCATAATATGTAACAACTCCAACAAGATTATGTACAGTGGAAGCACCCCATCTGGAGTCGACTACACTATGAAAAACGTCACTTAATCGAAGTGTTGTGCCAACAGTTGCGAAAACGTCCATTATATGCTCTAGAGATGGTCGCTCACTGTCCCAGACAACACCGACCGATACGATTTCTGGTCGGTTCATTAGTGTTCGGCAAATTTGGATTTTAGCACCACAGGAACTCTGCAATTAGGAAGAAAAAAGTTAATCTAGTTACGATAGCTTTGAGAAGATTTTTATTTATACGAGAAATTGAATCAAGCTCTTGAAGGCAGAAGTAAATTCCGTCTTTAATGAGGATGTTTATTTTCTCTTATTTAGTGGCTTATCTTTTGTACTCACCGGACAGTCGCGAATGTCGCCCATTCCACCTGCTCGACGCAGAAGTTGGCCAAATAAATCTGGACTCGATCTCGAAGCTACAGGCGTTTGTCGAGCTTGAGAAGTTAACGCCGACGCCGATACATAATGAACCATCTGCAAAAAAAAATACTTTCTTTATTCTCTATATTCGGTAAATTTATAGGGAATAAATTCAATTATGTTCAAAAGTTTTTTTAAATTCTCGTTAAAATTTCTCTGAATTCCCTGATATGTGGCAACCTTGTATCATTAGAAAGGAAAATTTAAATTTTTCGAAAATCTCGAATTTGGTTCTCATTTAATTGCCCAGATGTTTACAGCTGTTAATGAGAGATAATTGGATAATAATAAGGCACGCCCTGGATATGGAAGAAGTTCTTGTGAAGTTAATTAAAAAAAAAAAAATTGCGTCAATATTTTGCAAAAGTCGTTTACAAGCGACCTGTCTTGCATAAACAATTATTGGTCAAGTTTCTTGAGAATTTCTCTGGAGTCACATTCTTATATATCGATTGCAAAATATTGAAACATAAATTCTTTTTTTTTTCTTTACAAACTTAAGTATTTCAATGCGCCGAAAAATGATATTTTTGCTGATTTAACAAAAACCGGAGATATATCATTTCCGTATTTGTTCGAGTATTTTAGATTTTTCTTTGTCACGAGTTTGTTGATTTTTCTATTTACTCTGACTTTGAGAGACTGAAATGATATTTATTCTTTTTCTCGGGTTTCCGCTATTTCTTAAGTCTTATTTATTTTCTATTTTATCTTTCTTATTTCAATTTTTTATTCCTTTTTCTTTTCCTTTTCTTTTTACTTTTTTCTGTTACTCACTATTTTTAGTGTTTTTTCTTATTTTGCTTTTTTGATTTCTTACTTCTTTTTCTAGTTTCTGTCTGTTACTTTTTTCTTTGATTCACTTATGCTTTTCTTTTGTTGTCGATTTTTGAAACTTTCTGTTTATTCATTTTTTTTAGTAGACTCGATCTCTTGAGAAATGTGACACATAATCGAAATATTAATTGATATTTGACAAAAGATAAGTTTTAAATTGAGTTGACATATTTCGTAACTAATCCTTGGTCCATTTCCACAGATTCAAAATTGAGATTGGTTTTTCACGTCACGTACGTGTATGTATATAGGAAAGCATATCATATCTTGTTCGATTGTTCTTATGTACCGTTGCACATATAACACTGAATCAACTTCTGGTGAAACTGAAACGTGTATATGTCTCACTTGAATTGCGTTCATATTATCAAGACTATAAATGGATGTAGAACTTGATGAACATTTTTGTGGTTTTCTTTGTTCATAGTTGCATAATTTCAATTTGTCCCAACCGCAGATTATCATTAGCGTCTTTTTCTTAAAAATTTACAGAAAATCTACAAATAAGCGCGTGAGAAAACTGAACGTGATCCCAATTACCCTACAGGCAACAAACCTAAAGCCATAATCTTCAAAACGAACAAGCTTCGTACTTGATTTTAAAAAAAGTATCAAAAAGTACCTTGAAGACTGAAAAAAGTATATCAAAAAAGTATTTGTCAAATTTTTATTTAATTTTCAGAGAATAAAATTTGCTGAAAGTGCGTGGGTGGAAAAATCTGATTAGAAACTTTGCAATATTGCTATCGGTCAAGGCCGATTGCATATTTTCATATATACAAGTTTATGTTGGGACTTTGAACTGTCAAAGTAAGAGCTCCAGAGACTTGAGGAAAGTTTCGCAACTCACGAGTCTCGAGACATTTCGGTCGAGGGCAAGTTTCCTCAATTCCTTACTGAGAATTGATTTTTATAAAACTCTCAGCAATATTATAACAAAACGAGATTCTCATAAGTTTTGTTATAAAACGTGTATAATATTGTCGGGAATTTATATCACGAATAAAGAAGTAAGAAAATTGTTTTCACATTTCTTCATCTGTTTTATTAAATATTATTGAATAAATTCCTGAATGTACAATGAATGAGACTTCTCAAACGTATAATTTTTATTTCACTTATAATTGGGATTTAAAAAATTTTCCCGCTCAGTAGAGCATAAGTCATTATCGTCGGAATTTTTATTAGATTTTCCCTTATTGGGGAAAATTTTCTCTGCAAATCAGAAAATTTTATTATTGTGACTTGAAAAAAAGGAAAAAATAACGTTTTTTTATTAATTAAGATTTAAAACTGAGGTTTAGATTTTCATAGTTCATTGACCAGATTTGATAAGGATTTCTCCAATGAACGCAATGAGGCATCGAATCAAGATTAGCTAATCGCTTTACGCGACTTGCCATTGAATCTCAATCCGGCTTCTTTGCTAAGTGGCTTAAGTCCCTTAAACCTCAATTCCCTTGAGAGCAAAAGCCCAGACCTTTCCCAACAGAAAACTTATATAGACTTATATTCATCAAGAAGAAGAATTATTGATTCGTTTTTTTCTCTCCTACGTGCTCAGTATCCACCCCCAACAAAAGATTTCGTCTCTTTTTACTGCAGACACGTTTTCCCATCAAATGCGTCTTTTGACCTTCTGTGTGTCGATTACAACAAAAGCCTCCAGTATTTTTTTTTTTAAATTCCAGGTATATATATATATGTATTGGTTATATTAGACCTATGGTGCGTCTACCTGACGTGGGAAAAAGACAAGGTGCTCCTCCAAAAACTCACACAATTCGAGGAAACGTGCGGGTGGAAAAAAAAGATCCAATATTGTCCGAAAGACGAACACACAAAAATTTCATCACGATTACTGTTTACTTACATGGGAAAATCGATGGGAAAACATATGTCGAATTTTTCACCTCTGCATTTTTTTTATTATACACCCATTTTCTTTAGTGACAGAAATTTATTTTTGTTTGAATATTTTCCTCTCTTTTTATAGATTTTCTTACTTTTTAATTTTATTAATTACAGTTACGTTCTGACTAAAATTTTAATTAAAAATAAAAATAAGGAATTAATTTTTTTACTAACGGGACAAAAGTATTGTTTGTCATGATTAAAAAATGATTGTGCAAATGATGAAAAAAAAGGAAGAGAATTAAAATTACAAACCTGTGTAAATGGCAAGGGCTCTGAAGTGGCACCACAAGCTTCACAGACACTTTGCTCGACAAGTGTCATTGCGAATTTCTGATGTGGAACACAATGCCGAGCACTGCACATATCCTCCGCTTCTCCGCTTGCAATATGCAAATGAATTCGCAGCAAAATGTTCTCCTGTAAATAAAAAAAACAAAACAAAACGTTTCATTTAGTTTGAAAGGCAAAGAATAATTATCCTATTAAAAATTAATAATTTAATTTATAATTAAATCCTTATTAAAATTTACAAAAAAATTTGGAGCACTATTGCTAGTTTTCTACCCATTTCTCTTTTTTTGCAAAAAGGGAAAAATTTTTTTAAATTATTTTTTTGTAAGTTAGAAATGTTTTTATAATTACGTTTGAAGAATTAAATTTCTATTTTTTGGAAACATTTTGGAAAAATTTCAGTTTATCGAAACTTTGAATCTTTATAAATTTATGTACTTCGGAAATAGTAAAAGTTATTCTGGAAATAACAATTTTTAAAAGTCAATTTTAGTAAATTTTTAAACTTTTATAAGAAATTTTACCAAATCCGAAGTAAATTGTATTTATTTTTACTAAAATTCACTTCGAATATATAGTAAAAGATGGAATTTGAAATTTAGAAAAATTGCAAAAACGATAAAATAATATCAATAATCAACCGAAATGATTTAAAAACATATTTTCTTTTCTTTTTGTTTCAGGTGAGTTAAACAACACATGTTTCCTGTCGTTCTTATTTCGTAAGTAAATATATATTAAAATATATATAATTATAAATAAAATCTATTATCAAAAGAATAATTTTAAAATTCTGAATTTTAGTTAAATTATTCTAAAAGTAAACAAGGAAATTCAACTGATTTCTAATTTCTAAATTCAATTTGTTCAAAGATTGAATAATTTTGTTAAATAAATGTTTAAATACCTATTTCTTATTTGTTTTTCTACGGGAAATAGATTTAAAAAAATTTCAATTTCAAAACCTTCGGAAATTTATTAATTTCTAAAAATCACAACTATAATCCTTCCAAAATTTAATTATTTTCCACAGTTTTTAACTATAAACTTTATCTCTAAATCAATTATTTTTTAACAATTTTCCGAAAGTTCTTTGAGAATTCAATTATTTAAATAAAGAAATTAAATTTTTTTATAATAATTGTAACTGTAACTGCTCTTTTTTCCTAAAGTTTCAAAGAGTTTTCTAAAATTCCAAGATTTTCAAAAATTCATTATAAATAAATTCTTAAAATTTTTTAAACATATTTTAAAATAATTTTTGACAGACAATAATTTTTGAAGTATTTACAATTAAAAGATTTCCAAACAATTGAAATTTGGTAAAATCTTTGAAAAATAATTGAATTTTGGAAAAATATAAAAAAATAATCAAATTGAAGAATTTTAATTATAAATATGAAGATATGCTCCGCAATTTTAATAAGTCAACAAAAGTGAATTTAACAAATTTTAATGCTTGAATTTACACTTGAAGATTTTTCAATAAAATTTCGAAATAATCAATAAATTTCAAATATTTACAATTAAAATAGTTGTTGATTTTTTAAAATTGGAAATAAAATGCTTGAATAAAAATCAATTTCAATTAAATTTTATAAAAATGCAATTATTCAAAATTAAAATTTTCAAAAATTGTAAATAAAATACTTGAAAGAAAATCAATTCTTTTCAATTAAATTTTATAAAGATTCAATTATTCAAAATTTTTTTATATGTATATTTTGAAAATTTAATTAGAAAAGTTATTAAAAAATAATTTTTCATAGATTTGTCCACTTATTTTTTACAGTAGATAAAAATTGAAATAAGTTGCATTTTATACTAAAAATATGATATTTTGTTGGAATATTTGAAAGAAAAGTCTAAAGAGTCGCAATATTTAAAAATAAGTCGAAAAACGTCGCATTTTTTGAAAATAGTGGAAAACAGTAAAAGATAGTCATAGTATCAGAGACCTGTAATTATGGAATCGACTAAAAAATTTTTTTGTCGGGTTTTAAATTCCATTGTATTTAAAAAAAGATTTTGAACTTCGATTTTTAATTTCATAATTAGAATTTTTTTTTTTTTTTTTTGGTTTTAAAGTCCATCCGAAGCATATATTTAAAAAAATATTTGAAACTTTCAATTTAAATGCATAAGTAGAATATTCTTTTTCAATATCAAGGAAATAATTAATATTCTGATCTATAATGATTAGTAGCTCGAGGTACTTTCTTGATAAAGAAGGAAGTATATACTGTAGAGTATGAAATGTTTAAATAACAGTTTAGAGTATGGTGTCAAACGAGTAATTTTGCACACAGTGCGCAGGATAACGGAATGATAATTGTTACTGTCCTTGTTCTTATCGCGCGCAGTCAACCCGATAAGAGGAGTGGTCTTGGACTCAAATTAATGCACACTAGACAAAAACTGCGCTCGCGATATATAAACGAGAAAGTAGTCTGTCGTTGGTATTTGAGCGATTGCTCTCCAAGTGAATGCCACTACACGTGCGCTTAACTCATTATTCTTGGAACAAAAACAAACTACAAAAACAAAATACAAAAAAAAAAAGATTAAAAATTAAAACTATCGCTATACTTGAAACTTAGATTTTAATCCTTAAAAGTTTCAAGTATAGCACTTTTTGACAAATTCGTCTCTTAATTGACATTTCCTTTTTGAAAATTCTTCTTCTAGAGTTTCTGTTAATTATCGTTTCTTGATACTTTCCTAAGGATCGGAAAATGATTTCCAAATGGAAAATGAGTTATATATTTTCTGGGAGATTAAGGATAGTGAAAAGAGAAAAAGATTAAGGATGGTAGAGTTGAAAAAAAAGATCCTCGGGGTTTATAATAAATGAGATAATTGGAGAAGATAGAAGAGAGTTTTTCTTGAAACAGTTTGAAAGCCTTGAATCGTCAGGAGGATGAGATCATTACTAGTAAGAGGAATTTACATATTTATTTTTCTAATAAACTTACGGGAAAAAAATGTTTCAAACTCCAATGAAGCAAGAATTCTTTTAATTGATGCTTGTAATCCAGCAATGAAATAATTTCTTTATTTTACAGAATGCGAATAGTTTTCTGCTTATAAATAGGTAAATAGTGGCAGGTTTTCCAGGGATGTCAAATTGAGACAAAAAACATATCAAAAGTGTTGCGATGCAACACTTTTGATATGTTTTTTGTCTCAATTTGACATCCTTGGAAAAGCTCTGAGGTAAATAGTGATTTCTAGGAGGGAAATGGTGATTTTTAAGGATTTAAACGTTTTTCGATGCACTTTAGACTCTTTAGAGTCTTTAGAGGAAATCTAATTGGATCATCATGGGAATGTAATGTTAGAGGACACAACAAACAAATAGCATTGAAAGGGGATTTAAAGAAAGCAACTTTTCAAAAATTCTGGTAATAGTGTTTTTCGTGGAACTAATACTTACAAAGCATTCGGCAGCGTCATCCATAAAACCGAGCTGAAACCTTTGCTGATCGAGGAAGCTCTCAGCGAGGGCTCGACGCAAAGCGTCTGGTGGTAATGCGCTTTCTTGCGAAAACTGCAGCTGGGAGAACAGGTCCTGTAACACAAAAGAAACGACGTGTTCAATACATCTTAAGAATCTAAAGAGCTCTCAGGAAGAATGGTATCACAAGCATCACAAGCATCACAAGGACTATTCGTTTTTGACCAAGAGTCCTAGAATTTTGCTCTAGTTGTCAAAAAACGACAAATTCAAAATAATAGACAAAAAAATAGTACACAAAAGATGCAGTAAGAATAATAAAGTCAAAGGATGTTTTCCATTTAGTTCCTTTAAACTTTAGGAACAATATTCCTTAAGCCCTGTAGTTAAAGGGACAATACTCCTTAAACTATTAGTTAAAGGAACAATATTCCCTAAACTATTAGTTAAAGGTAACAATATTTTCTCCATGGACAACATTCTTTTATGCAATACAAATATCCAAATCATCTTTTTTTATATCTTAAAAATTCCATCAGTTTTTTATGATTCCATCAGTATATGGACGGATCAAATTTTACATCTATACACAAAAGGATTAATGTTGTTATCCCAAAGATCCATTATGCATTTCGAAATGCGTCAATCTTTCTCCAAACCAATAATGATTCCATTTATAATAATACAAAAAAAAACGAATGTCATTCAAGACGATACATCATTTCTTAAGTTTTTGAAAATCGATTCTACTTCTACTGTGTTCTGGAGGGAAAAATTGAAGGAGAAAAATGCGGATTAGATTCCGGAAGACGAGAAGCTTTCTCCATCTCTCGATATATATTCTTCCGCATTTTCTTCTTCCGATTTCCATTTTTGGATTATAGATAAAAACACACACGTGTATGTGTGTTAAAAAGCATCGAATCCAATCAGATTTATTTCTTCGGAGACTTTTGTATATACTTACGACACATGACTGAAAATTCATGTGTGTCGCAAGTGTATGGGTATAAAAGTATAAATGTGAGTTCCATAAGAGTAGCTCTGGGCATCGGTCACGTGTAGAAAGTAGGTTCTCGTACCTCCAGGGCATACAACCTGTCAGGGTTATAAGCCTTCTTGCTGCAATATTCCCTATAACCGGTTCTAAAAAAACTCAAGTCTCCTAATGCATCACGGTCCTTATAATCTTTAATTGCTTCTTTCAAACTCATTCACATTATATTAGAGCAAAGCAAATTGAATATATGATGGAATTCAAAACTTAGATAATTATGATACAGGGGTTTTATTTCAAAATTTATAATTATTATTAAGTCTGTTATAAAAAAAGATGTCTGTTACAAAATATTAAGTGTCGCAGCGAAAAAAGTGGCTTTATTAATCTTTTCTTTTCGCTGTCTATTAATTATTATTTTTTGTTTAGCTATTTATATTTTGTTGCTAACATCAAATAGTCTAACAGGCTTCGTACTCGATAATTAATTTTAAAAAAAGTAGCAAAAAGTAGTTTAAAGGCAGAAAAAAGTATAGTAAAAAAGTAGCTAACGAGAAATGAAACTTGACTCAATTTTTTTTATAATTTCTTAATTAGATTAAAAATTAGATTAATTAGATTAAAAAATAATTTCTGCGAATATTTTATTGTCCGTGAAGATAATTGAATTTTTTCGAAGAATTTCATTAAATTTTTTGTAAATAATTGAATTCCTTCAAAAGAATGTTATTAAAATTCATTTTAAATTGTATTAAAAATAATTGAAATCCTGCAATGAGTTTTAAAATTTATAAAAATAATTGAATTTTTGCAACGAATTTTATTAAATTTTTTAAAAATACATAATTACAATTCTGAGAAAAATTTTATTATTTATAAAAAATAATTTAATTTTTGCAAAGAACTTTATTAAATTTTTATAAACAATTAAATCCTTGTGAAGAGTTTGATAAAAATCTTTTTAAATAATTGATTTATTTCGAAGAATTTTAACAAAATTGTGTTTTAAATAATTGAATTCCTGTGAAATTTTTTAAATAAAGGAAAGAATTAAATGATTCCAAAGAATTTTATTAAAATTGTTTTTTAAATAAATAAATTCTATTTGGAAATTTTTTTTATAAAAATACTAGATATTAAAAATAATTGTATTTCGAAAAACTTGAAAATAATTGAATCATTTCAAATAATTTTATGAACGTTTTTAAAAATTGTTTCTAAGAATTTGATTTCAATTTTTGATAATAATTGAATTTTTCTAAAAATTAATTTAAAATTCTATTAAAAATAATTGAATTCTTGCAAAGAACTTTATTATTTATATAAAAATAATTGAAATCTTTGCGAAGAATTTTTTATTTATAAAAATAATTAAAATTTTTGCGAAGAACTTTATTATTTATAAAAAATAATTGAATTCATGCGAAGAACTTTATTGTAAATTTAACTAAAATTAACTAAAAATAATTGAATTCTTGCGAAGAACTTTATTATTTATGAAAATAATTGAATTTTTGCAAAGAATTTTATTAAAATTTTTAAAAAATAATTGAATTCCTGAGAAGAATTTTATTATTTTTAAAAATAATTGAATTCTTGGGAAGTTTATTATTTTTTTTTTAAATAATTGAATTCTTTGCGAAGAATTTTATAAAAATTTCAGAAAAGAATTGAATTTTTCCGAAGAATTTCATTAAAATTTTTGAAAATAATTAAATTCTTTCAAGAAATATAATTAAAAATGAAATTGAAAATAATGATTAAATTCTAATAAATAAATTATATCAAACTCATTTTAAATAATTGCATTTTTCGCGCAATTCTTTGAAAATTGTATATATTGTATATATTGAAATCCTGCCATAAGTCTTAATATTTATAAAAAAATAATTGAATTCTTTCAAAGAATTTTATTAAATTATTTAGAAAATAATTTAATTCCTGAGAAGAATTTTATTATTTATAAAAATAACTGAATTCTTGCGAAGAATTTTATAAAAATATATTTAAATAATTGATTTTTTTCGAAGAAATTAGGAAAATTATGTTTTAAATAATTGAATTCCTGTGAAAATTTTTTTATTTATAAAAATAATTGAATGTTTCCGAAGAATTTTATTAAAAACATGGAATTCTTTTGGAAATTTTATTTAAATTCAATTTTATTTAAATAGTAGTTAAAAATCATTGGATTACGGAAAATTTGTGAAAATAATTGAATCGTTTTAATGAATTTTATTAAAATTTTTTGAATTTTTTCCAAGAACTTTATTAAAATTTGTTTTAATTCGAAAAGGACATTTTATTTCAAAATTTAATATACAGATTATTTCTCTGTTAGGTTTCTGATATCAAATAAGTTTGTTAAATTTTGTAATAAAAGATTTTCCGCATAAAAACTATTAGCTCTTTTTAATATTTGACAAAAATATTTGTAATATTTGTGATATTTGTAATATTTGTACAAATACCTAAAAAGTTACTAATTGTTAAATATTTAACAGAAAAATGAATTTTAATTTGACTTTATGAAATTATGCGCATTCACTTTGTCAGAGGAGCTTCAGAAAAAAAAATGTTCGACAAAAAGTGTTATTAAAATGAGAATAAGGTATATACACTAAAGAGCTGGGGAAAAATTATTGAAATGAAGAAAGTTTTTATTGAAATGAAAATGGGGACCCAATGTAAGTAACAAAAACAGCCAGCTGAATAAACTTCCTTTGCATTCATATATGGGAAGCAAAATGTCTGCTTTTCAATTCCTAGCGAACTTGTTTGATTTGAAAATTATAAATATTTTATTTAAAAGTCAGTAATTCAGTATTATACAGATCCTAAAGGATGTCGTTTAGATATCAGGTTTATTCTTTATTAGGAGAAAAAAACAAGCAGAAATTCACTTCCGCAGTGAGAGAGAAATCATTTTCAACGAAAGCGAATCGATTTATCTAAAATTCTACTCTAATTGAGCTCCCGCGGGCAATAACTCGATCTGCGCTCGGACGCACTCTCTAATACCAGTCGGGTGGCAGTGAGTGGCGCAGAGGCGCTCACTGCTCCCCGACTGGTACGAGCGCTTGCGTCCGAGCGCAAATCGAGTTATTGCCCGCGGGGGCTCAATTGTTGTATATGCCAGAAGCTACCTTCACTTCCTGAAAAATTAATTATCGATTTCCCTGGGGAACCTTCCTAACATTTTCAGATGCTAACGAAATCTGATATTCAAGACAAAGCTTCTAATTATTTTAAATTTCGATTTTTAAAAATTTGGAAGAATTCCTTGGAATTCTTCCTAATTTTTAAAAATCGAAATTGAACTAGTAAGTAATTTTAGTAAAAAAGAATCAAGAGTAGAAAAAATTGTTAGCGGATATCGTACTTTTTTGAGAAGACTCAAATCAACAGCGGGTGAATCCTCCCTCTCCATTCCACTATCATCTTCGTCTTCCTTAACTGGCTGAACATCCGTTTCGTCATTGCTCTTGGCGATTGTCGATGAGGACGAATCCTGACGAACTTTAATCCACTTGAGCATTTTTCTTTCTTTCTGTTTCCCTTTCTCATAAAATCTCAATGATTGATCATATTAATTTTTTTCTGATTGATTCATTCATCAACAAGCTTTCAAAAACTCGCTTTCCGTTAAGTTGTAGGTTAACGGGACAGTGCTCCGAAAAGTTTGTCCGAACAGAGTGGGGGAGAGAGCAAGAAGACTTTCGAAATCTCTGGAATAAATTTTCTTCTGCCTCGTTGTTGATTTTTCAGCGCAGGAAACTTGATAAGAATATATTTGTTTGTCTCTCTGGACCTACAGAGACTAATCTCTCATTTCGGGCACTTGTCGCTCCCTGGTAATCAAACACCTTGCTTTTCTTTGTCCTCGTGCCACGTTAGCAAGATAAGATGTCAGCATTATCTTTTCTATTTGCAGAGGTTTGAAATTTGAAACTTGAAACAAACTAACTTGACACAAACTGATTTGAAGAAAGAATTAATTCTTTGTTCAATTATTTCTTTGATATTCAATCAATCAAAATTTGTTGGCAATAAGTTGTTATTGACAGTTGATTTGAATTCAAGAGGTAAATTTGGTTTGGAAATCCTTGAAATTGAAGGAATGTTTGGAAAGACTATCAAGGCTCCCCTTTCTACAAGTCCCTTATCCAGACTCGATCTCCGTTCAATGCAATCTCATCAACTATTCAACGCCAAAACTCGTCTTTGGTTTTTAACTCGGACTGTACGAGATTATTAGCATTATTCCCACCTCTGAATGAAGAAACAAGGAAGAGTTGTGATTTGTCGAGTGTCTCGGTAGTCAAAGCGAGCTGAAGAATCAGAAAACCGTTGCTAGACAACTTGTTGGAAAAAATTAATAACTCGTTTCTTCCAAGATGCTCTTGGGTGTTGCCAACACTTTTGGGTTTTCGAATCTGTTTTTGAATCACTTTTCAAAATCTGTTTTGAACCTAATTTTCAAACAACTTTTCGAATCAAATGAATATCTTGATAACTAGTTGAACGGTTTGTTTTCTAGTTTAATTCCAAGTGGGATGAGTTGCACTTGGTGAACACATTTGCACATAAAAAACAAAAATCGAAAATCAAGAATCAAAAATCGGTAGATCCGGTAAATGTTAATAACTACGGATGGCACGGTATTGCATAAAAGATCCAGGTGGCGGATGCTATTGTCTATTTGGCCACGTGGTCTGATTTTCTTCACTTTCCTCAGCACAAATGTCACGAAAGATCAAAGTTAGTCCACTACGACTATTTTGAATAATCATTTCGTAATTAAACATATTCCACTTGACACTTTCACTTGACGGGCACTACAACCACAATCACTTTAATCCTCTATTGAACCCACAAGTGGTACTTCACATCATTAACAACTTTTGAAGTAACTTTTCATCAACTTTTTGAAGCAACTTTTTATCAACTTTTAAAACCACTTTTCATCAACTTTGAAGCAATTGAAATTACAATTGCAACCGCAATTAAAATTGAACTTGAACTTAGAATTGAAATTAAAATTGTAACGAAAATCGAAATTGTAACGAAAATTGAAATTGTACCGAGAATCGAAATTGAAACTAAAATCGAAATTGAAGAATTGAGAGGATTTAGAGAAGAAACCGAAAGCAGGTAAGTTTGAGCGTACCTGGAGAGCGAGACACGGTGCGCGTACCTGATGGCAGCGACTTGCCGAGTGCTGGCGAACCGCCCCCACCCCTGACCATGTATAAACGGACCACCGATCTCTACTCAACCCCTACCAGATAGACCTGAAGCCAATGACGTCATCCGGTTACTTGCCCTACGTTCACCGTGTGCTAACCAACAACGTGCCTGGAGTACGAGTCGAGGCCCAAAAGAGAGGGAGATCGTTTTGTATAATTTCGTATAGGTATATAAGTGTGAGTGTCTTTTTTTCTGTGTTTGTGAGTAGTCCACGAAGAAGTTTTCGAATCATGAATACAGACACATTCTCTATACTCGAAAAAAAACATTCTTGACTCAAAAATTCTATCTTCTTGTTTTATATTTATAATAGATATTGTGTCTAGAATTTTGATCCTTGGAATCCCTTGATATTTTACACCTGAACCCTAAAGTTGAGGAAGAAGAAAATTCTTGGATAGATATTTTAGATACATTTTCTAGATAGCAGGTTTTGTGTATACTCATCTAATAAAACTTAATATTTAATTGTTTTTTTTTACGATTTTCTACTATTTTGATAGTTTTTTTAGAATTTGGCAAACAATCAATTATTTCAAAAGAAATTTTACAAAATTATTCGCTAGAATTCGATTATTTTTATAAAAAATAAAGTTCTTCTCAAAGATTTCAATTATTTTTAGTTAATTTTATTTTTAGTTAATTTTAGTTAAATTTACAATAAAGTTCTTCGCAAGAATTCAATTATTTTTATAAATAAAAAATTATTTGCAAAGATTTCAATTATTTTTATAAATAATAAAGTTCTTCGCAAGAATTCAATTATTTTTAGTTAATTTTAGTTAAATTTACAATAAAGTTCTTCGCATGAATTAAATTATTTTTTATAAATAATAAAGATCTTCGCAAAGATTTCAATTATTTTTATAAATAAAAAATTCTTCGCAAAGATTTCAATTATTTTTATATAAATAATAAAGTTCTTTGCAAGAATTCAATTATTTTTAATAGAATTTTAAATTAATTTTTAGAAAAATTCAATTATTATCAAAAATTGAAATCAAATTCTTAGAAACAATTTTTAAAAACGTTCATAAAATTATTTGAAATGATTCAATTATTTTCAAGTTTTTCGAAATACAACAATTATTTTCAATATCTAGTATTTTTATAAAAAAAATTTCCGAATAGAATTTATTTATTTAAAAAACAATTTTAATAAAATTCTTTGGAATCATTTAATTCTTTCCTTTATTTAAAAAATTTCACAAGAAAATTCAATTATTTAAAACACAATTTTCTTAAAATTCTTCGAAATAAATCAATTATTTAAAAAGATTTTTATCAAACTCTTCACAAGAATTTAATTGTTTATAAAAATTTAATAAAGTTCTTTGCAAAAATTAAATTATTTTTTATAAATAATAAAATTCTTCTCAGAATTTTAATTATTTTTAAAAAATTTAATAAAATTCGTTGCAAAAATTTAATTACTTTTAAAAGTTATAAAAACCATTGCAGGATTTCAATTATTTTGAATAAAATTTTTAATGAATTCCTCGAAAAAAGCAATTATTCCTAAAAATATTATTATATTTTTCGAAAGAATTAACTATTTGAACAAATATTTTTATAATTTGTTTATTAGAATTTAATAATTATTATTTTCAACACATTTTTAAGTAAACTTTTTATAAATACTAAAATTCTTATCTGAAATTAAATTATATTTAAAAATTTGTTATAAAATTCGTTGCCAAACTTCAATTATTTTTGAAACAGTTTTAAGTGAATTCTTAAAAAAAAAAATTCCTAATAAAAAAGATTTTTCTAAAATTCTTCCCAAGAATTAAATTATTTTTTAAAAATTCTTCGTCAGAATTCAATTATTTTTATAAATAGCAAAATTCTTTTCAGGAATTCAATTATTTAAAAAATATTTTAATAAAATTCATCTCAAGAATTGAATTAGTTTTATAAGTTATAAAAATCGTCGGATAAATTCAATTATTTTCGATAAAATTTGAATAAAATTTCTAGATCGAATATTTTTTCAAAAGTGTAACAAAATTTGTGATAAACTCTTTAGAAGAATTCAATTTTTTTCAGTATAATTTTAATTATATTTTTCGAACGAGCTTAAATTTTTTTCGAAACAATTAAATTTGTATTTTCACAAATATTTTGATTTTTTTCTCATTATTATCTATTATTTTCATAAATAATAAAATTTTCACATGAATTCAATTCTTTAATTAATTTAATTTAATTTCAATTATTTTTAATACAATTTAAATGAGTTCTTCGAAAAATGCATTTATTTTTGAAAATTGTATTAAAATTCTTCAAAATAATTCAATTTGAAAAAATTTAGAGATAATTTGTTAATTGTTATTAAATTTCAAGAAATATTCAATTATTCAATAAATTTAATGTATTGATTAATTGAATATTTTTATATTTAAATAATTGAATTTTCCTTGAACTTTGTAATAAGAATTGATTTAAAATTGATTTTCAGTTAAAATTGTAAATAATTATTGAATATTAGAAGCGTTATGGTGTGAATTTTTAGAAATAATTGAATTTCAGAAGATTTTTTAAATTGCAGTCGAAGTCTTTGACAATTTTATTTGTTGTAAAACTGTAATAATATTTAAATTTTTTACTTTGAAATAAAATGATTAAAGTTCTGAATAATTTTATTTAAAAATTTCAACAAAAAAGTGATTGAATTCTAGAAGAATTAGAGTTGAATAATTTTTAGAATAATTTTTGTATAATTTTTTTTTTTCAAAAAGGCTTTACGTTGAAAATTATTTATCTATTACGAAGCTTGAGATAGTTCCTATAAACTATCCTGAAAAGATAGTTCTTGATAGTAATCTATCTAGAGAAGATGGTTCTTAATAGTATAATGTATCTAGAAAATGTATATTTAAATTTGTCAAGTCATGTGTCGTAATACTAATAACAGAAAATGATGTGACATCGATTTCTAAAAATTTCTTCTTCGACAGAAAATTATCTCCGCATTTGATTCACCGAATATTTTTTTTCGGACTTTTTTTCCAAGTTGCCTCATTTTCATTCATTGAAATTGTCTCGTAAAATTTATACAATAGAGTAGCATTGTACGATGGTTATAATAATAGTAGTATCAACGTTCTTGAAAAATTGTTATATTCATCTACTGGATTCATGGTTGGGTGCTCAACCTGGTCCACTTCCGTCGCAAATGGTATTTTCATTGGATTCTCTATTTATGCAACTTTTAGTTAGAAAATTGAATAAGGTATTTTCTTTTTGTCTATATATATATATTACATCTAGTCTCGAGAACGTTTCTTCTTCAAGGTTCTATGAAAAGAGTTGATGGAGTTATTAATTATAATGAGAGATTGTGAGAAGTTTGCGATGCTTTGCATTTCAGACATCTCTTTTGAGGGAGTAGTTGCTTTTCCTATAAGTTTTCAATAATAAAGTTTCTTTTGATTAAATGCAACCGGGAAGATTATTTCAATCATCATTTTATCGGGAAATATGTACAATTTTTCAATAGGGAGATAAAATTATTTTTTCTTTTTGAAATTTTAAAAACATTTAATATAACAACATTTTATAATTAATTGCATTTATTTGAAAGAAGAAAAAAAGACAATAGCTTGTATGCAAATTGTTTAGAAGAAAAACCGTTGCGGAATAATGACAACACTTGCAAAATATTTTCTTTTGTAAGAGTGTGTTAATTGGATTAATTACCAACAATTACGATCTGAATAGTTAGCAAATTACAACATCTGAGAGAGGAATGATTAGAATTTCTGAAAAGCTTAATATCAAAATTTGGTCATTTATTTTCTCGAAAATAAACAATTAATAAATTGTAGTTGATTACAGAAAGTTACTTGAAAAGTGAAACTAAAAATTGTATCTGATTCTGAATAGTAAGAAAGAGAAACAAAAGGTAAAAATAACTTCAATTTTATAGAAAATCCTATCACAAAATTTGACTTATCTTTTTAAAACCAATAATATGAAAACAACCTAATTTTCATAATGACAATAATTATTTTAATGTCAACTCGTCAAAATCGAATTACAACATAATTAACAGTTTCCTAACGAGCTCAAAACACAATTAGCATATCGATATATTTTAAAAAAGAAAGTTCAATTATGTGCATTCCACACCGAACAGGAATAAATCATAACGGAGGCAATATAATACTTTAATTTTTTAAATATATTCAATTTTCCAAACCCTTTAATCTATTTTTAAAATTGATTTAATTTTTAGGAATAAATTTTACGGATTAGAATGTAGAACAATTTTTAGGAATAAATCTCAGGTTACAGATTAAAATGTAGAACAATTTTTAGGAATAAATCTCAGATTATGGATTAAAATATAGAACAAATGAGGCCTTCCCGTGTGGAAATCTGCCCAAGTTAGCCCAGTTAAAAACTGGGAGCCAGCTGGGCCCCACCTGGGCTTCCCATTTTCATAAAAATATTAACATTATAATAGAAAAAGTCTGAAAATTAAATATAATTATTCACAATAAATCATTCTACAATTAATTCATAATAATAATAATCATTATTATTTTAAACAATTTATTATTGTCAATAATTATAAACTTTTATTGTACTACACTAACAGACATTTAGTTTTATTGAAATTTTAAAGTTGTTCCAGCTGAATTTATTTATTTAATAATTAACTCATCAAGGTATAACGGTTTTTAATACATTTTAATAATTGTTTAAACAAATAATTGTTGTTATTTAATAACTTTTGATACACATAACTTAGAAACTTGCAATTTTTTTTCCTAATTTTGCAATTAACTAATAGGAACGACATAAAATAAAGAAAATTTATGGTTTTAACAATTCAGAAATTGTTTAAACAAATGATTGTTGTTATTTATTAACTTTTGATACACATAACTTAGAAACTTGCAATTTTTTTCCTAATTTTGCAATTAAGTAATACGAACAACATAAAATAA